GCCTCCTCTGCTATGTGCTTCGCCTCCTTCAGCTGCATTTCCTGGAGCTCCATCTTCTCCTCATCCTTCATGGCCCTGTTTTCGATGACCTTCATGCCTCTGAGGAAAGCCCAAGCCAGATGTTACTGCCATGGGTTGAGGTGGCACCTGCACCTCCTGCCTGCTCACTGTACCCATCCGCCAGCTCCAGAGACATGGGATATCACCCGGGGATGCTGGCACTTGCTGGCCACCCCACGCAGTAGGGTCACACCAGTGGTAGCCCAAGGATGCTCCTGTGCACAATTAAAGCAGTGGAGCTGGCCCCTGTTCCAGAGCAAGGAGATGCGGCTATGGTGCCTCTCAACAAGGTCCTGAACCCATCATTTGGGGGGGAAAATGTGTGCAGTCCAGGATGAGACAACCGCAAGGTCCACAAAAGCAGCCTGACAGGCCAGCAACCTTTACGAAATGCTAGAAAACATCCCGTGGCAAAGCCTTTTCCCATTCAGGGGTGATGCTCACAAGCAGGGGGTCACTGAACCCCTGCGAATCCCGGCGGCAGGGACTCCTGGAGACTCTTCTCCTCTTGCTCAGATGCTGTTGCTCAAACTGGTCTTTGCCAATGGAAGAAAGAGCTCATGCAACTGTCAGGAACGCTGTGACATGTCTGGGCACTCCCGTAAAACCTGAGAGCCCTCGCCTGCACAGCTTCTGCCCGGGAAACCTGCTTGCCTTAAGGATGGGGCAACACACTTTGCAGGACTGTTTTTTTGAATAAGGCTGGTTCATTCCCAAAAGCTGACCTTGGTTCCCATGCACAGATGTCCCCTCCTGGGCTGTTGTTCAGCCCTTGAGCGTAGGAGGCTACTCTCAGGCAAAAACAGGCTCCAAGCACCCTCTGGCTTTGGTTATAGCCTGGTATTTGTACAAACACCAGAGCAAATTTTTCAGGATTTTATGGGTGCCCTGGAAATTTCAAAGCCTTTTTAAGAATGCCTGTATCTGGGGGACTTCTCTGCATTGTGGCTTTGCTCTCTCCCTTCAGGGTCTGCAGGAAAACCAACACAAACCCCACAAGGTCACTTCAGAGGGACCCCACTGTGAAACCAAGGGAGCTGCCTGCAATCAATGGTGACCCGATGCCACCCCCGCTGTCCCTTCCCATCACACCTCTCGCTCTCATCAGCTGCCTTCTCAGCCTCCTCCAGCTTCTGCAGGGCGGTGGCCAGGCGCTCCTGGGCTCGGTCCAGCTCCTCCTCCACCAGCTGGATACGGCGGTTCA